GTAGTCCTTCGTTATTATGCAGTGTCAAACACAGCTTACACTCGTAACTACCCAACCAAAACAAAGAAACAAAAGCCACATCAGGAACATCACAGAAACCCTAACCAATAGATATCATAAGATAAACAAGCAAATAAATTGATGTACGCGTGTATGTTTTACCTCCCAAGATGATTGCGCATGAAATAGGGATCTTTAGCGAGATCAATGGTTTCAAGGGCCAGCCTCCGAAGCCGCTCCCGACGGTCAATGGCCTCATTCTGAGCCGAGGCTGCGCCTCCGCTGCCGGGCTTCGAACCCCAATCTCTGTCCATTTCTACGGAGAGTTTAACACTTTCTGATTCTTTCCGTTCGCTTTCTCTCCGTCCCTCCCTCTCTCTCTCTCTCTATCTCCCTCCCCCGCTCGCTCTATATGGTTTTGGGGTTGTAGCCTATAGTCATATGAAAGTACAATACTTCAGCCGCTTGGGTAACGGAAGTTACTGCAGAAATTACTGCTACTGTAAATAATCTTTCTTAATTTGCCTTATTTTAAATAATAAATATTAAAATTTGCAATAACATAAAATTTTTATATTAATAAATAATTTTAAATTTTATTTTATTTTTTAAAGCTTCTCTTACAACCTATTTTCGTTTTCTAAAAAGATAATTAATTAATGTTCATGAATTTATTTAGTTACAAATGTTAATTTGAGTCGTTAGTTAATGTTTAATTTCTGAAACATTTTAAATTTTTATAACAAATATTGAAATATCAGCAATAATTATTATTACTCTTTAATTATAAAATATATTTAATAAATAATTCATTTTAATATACAATAAAAATATCAACAAGATAATACTATTGAAACTTGATGCTTACATCTGTAAATATTTATTTAACCAAGCTAGACATTTAATTAGTGACGAGAATTTGTTCAAATAAAATTTAAAAATGTAAATTTTATTTAAATTAAAAAGAATATAAAATTAATTTAAATTCTTTTACATTCTTGGTGAGCTAAGAATTAGACCACACTTATTGTAAGAAAAAAAATTGTTCATATAAGGAGAGTACATTTTGTAAAATACATTTATAAAATATAGAATTGAAGAAATAACATCCATTATATGTACATCAAGGCCAGTATTTCTATATTGCATTTTTTGACATGCACGGACAACACCATCCGATGAGCTACGATACTTTCTCTAAAAACAAATTGTATTTGCTTCCTTATCTCAGGCATGGATCTCCACCGTAGCAGACTGTGTTTGGATTAACAATACAAGAGGGAACAGACAGTAGCCCCAATTTCACCTTGGTGCTAGCCAGGAATGTTCACTCAGCACTAGCTCTTTTGATGCACAGCAATGTGGTGGATGTCCATGTCCTTCAACATTACAGAACGTCCGCAGGAGTCACAAGGAGCTGTCCTTGATCCACATACACTCTCATGCTCGGATAGTCCTCTCAGCCTGTCACGAACATCCACAGCTGAGGTACCAGCTTGGACCATATCCCCACAAAACCGACATGTAATTAGTCGTAAGGGACACTCGGAGGCTTGATGTTGTACCTGCCAAAGTCATTCAACATTAGCCAAGGGTTTCTGTAAACATATATCGCTGTGCAATTGAAGTTGTCATCGATCCTTTTTCAAGGCTATGATTTTCGTACTTCAACAAATCCTACGAAATCTTCTATCCTAAAATACATACAATTTTTTCTTTTTTCAAAATGACCCATCCTTCATCGATATCAAGTAAACCGTAAACAAGGGTGGTTATTTTCATTATATCTGTTCCAGCAAAAAACCAATGGCCATTTAAACTATGCAAAATTTTCAAGGGTCACAGGAGAAATATCCTTGTTTCTGCCCAATTAATTTACTTTTAAAAATATACATAAGAACAACTAATTCAGAAGTATAACAAGAAGCCCTATGAAGTCCTTAGGCTGTTATGCATGAAGGAAACCATTACTTTAACTCCCAACTAACATAATACCTTTACAAATAAAAGGAGAGCAACAAATATTGCATACAGAAGAGGCGTTGTTTCCTCATGAGAAAAACCATAACTTCTTGGTTTTCATCAATCTGTAAGTATCAATTTTAAACATAACTAATCAAAGAGAAGCCCTGTTTCATTTGGTTTTTAAGGTGGGTAATGAGAAAGACAAAAGAATCTGGAAACCGGACAAGAAAAAAGGTTTTTCAGTGAAGTCTTACTATAACTTTATTGTCAAAAATGGTGAGAAGAATGCCAAGACAGCACCGTTTAAACAAATATGAAGGTCTAAAGCACCGCCTCGAATGGCTTTTTTCATTTGGGAAGCTGTTAAAGAAAAAATCTTTGACCATTGATACGTTGAAAAAGAGAGGTACGATGATAACCAATAGGTGTTACATGTGCAAGGCCGAAGAAGAATCATGCAATCACTTGTTACTTTATTGTCCTGTTGTTTACAGAATTTGGGAGTACGTGTATGGGATTATGGGGATGATGTGGGCCATAGCGGGTAGTGTTAGCAAGGAGTTGTGGACGTGCGCTGGTTTATGTCAAAAAAAAAAGATTTATTCTTTATCCCGCTTTCTATTATGTGGGTTGTTTGGAGGGAGAGGAATGCTAGAGCTTTTGAGGGTATTGAAACAGACATTATAAATATTAGAAATAGATGGTTTCATACTTTTGGTTTTATTTTGATTGGTTATGACATAATAGATTAGGAAGATATTGGAACTGTCATGAACTATCTGATCAACTTGTAATTTTGTGTTTTCGGGTAGTATCTCCTTGGTACCTTTGTGCGTAATTAATACTCTTTTCTTCAAGCAAAAAAGCAGGTATTGTTGGTCTTCACTCAATTTATAAATTTAATTCTTAAAAAGGTCGATCAAAGAGGAAATTTTAAATAAGTGATAAACCTAAAGAACAGATATAAGTTAGAAGTAAATCCAGAAAAGGCTATCTAGGAATCATCTTGCTTACCATCTTTTCCTTCTCAAGGACTACTCCACAACCACAACTAAGTGGCTCATGAAACACCTTGACGTGCTTCTCCATCTCCTCTTCATGAAAAGCTTGCCCACATTTATCACAATGAACATGATTTCTAGCCTCCTGAACCCTAAGAACTACTCCACAACCAGCATGCTGGCAAATCACGTTATGCCTGCTACAATAAGCTTCATGAAGTGCTATACTCCTACTGGGTATAGAACGTTTGCAATTCCTACACTCCACAGTATCAACCTCCATAGGTGATGAAGACGAAGCATGTTGGCCCACCTTATGGTCATTGTTTTCCAGAAGATTCACTGATACATGATACTTCGTTGTTCCATTGAAGCCATAAACACCAATGCTGTAAGTACCTGCACTCAGACTCTTATCTTTAGAGCCAAGGATCAAAGTCTTTGAACCCACATCATGAGAAGACCATTCATGCTGATGTCGAGTTGGGAATAGAAGTGGATGTCTGGATATATAAAGATCAGTATCTCCACCAGCCTTCTCCACTTCTACCTTCACCTCAATTCTAAAATTTCCCAAAGCAATTTTTTCTGAAGTATCATCATCTATTGAGAACTTGTAGTACATAAACTTTCCTTCCTCAACTAGCCCAGATTCTGATTTGCCAAGTGGAAGTGGTCTCAAAACATGCTCATTTGATCTGTCAGGACTCACATCAGGATTGACGATATCCACCTCAATATCAGTTTCCAAAACAGAAATGCTTGGAGAAGGTTTCAACTCAAGAACCCTTAATTTGTAACTAAGCTGCCCATAATTGACAGTAAGCATATCATCTTGAGAAAGTGTTGCATGCTGCCGAAGAATTGTTTCAAGGATAGCTTTATGATTGGGAAGATCTGAGAAGCCAATTCCATCAGGTTGAAGTTTCGCGTAAGTCCCTTTAGGCAGTCGAACATAACGAACTTCAACCAATGGTGCACTTGCACCATCATCAGCAAACAGATTATTCCATACATGAGGAGGAAGCCCAACAGAATCTTCATCAGCAGTAAATTCCAAAACACCTGAGTGGGTGGTCCTGCAATCTTTCTTCTCATCACCTTCCTTATCCGATGAACTCTCTTGATGAACTATTGACAGTTGGAAGTATATAGGTCCCTTATCGAAAGCACCTTGATCAGACAATTCCGTGAAGCAGGAAGGTGGCAATTTGATCTTATCACCATTAGCTTGGAATGGTACAGCTTGCAAGATACGGTAAAACATTATTCCTCCCCCAGCAAGTAAACTTTCTTCCCTTTGCTGTTCAGCCTGTAAAAGAGAAGGAAAATAAAAGTTTTGACTTGTCCTTATATACCCCATGAAATGCATCAGAGGCTTAAAGAAATGTAAAAAGGACCATAAGAATCTAATTTGTCATTCAACCACACAAGTCAAAACACCTAACCATGATGAATCACTGAAACTATGATGAATCTCCTATAAGCATAACAACAAAAGTCCTTCTAAACAAAGTTACAGAAATATGTTATTTAAGGTTTAACAGACATGCCCATCGCTGCTATTACGAGGATGATATAGGACATTTACACTATTTAGAACCATATTTTTGCCCTGTGATGAAAACAAAAAAATTTAATTCCTGGGTTGATGTGATAAATATAGGGATAATATATCTAAAATCCTCCTGAATTTTCGCATTTAAGTCAAATTGGGAATATGCAACCTGCACTATCACGCGTATCAAATTACCTTTTATTTAAAATTGTGTTCAACATGATACAATACATAATGCTCTTAGCAATTAATAAACTATGGTGCTGTTGGCGAAAAAACAAAATATATATATAGGGTCAGAAGATGAGATTTTTCTTGAGATAAATTTTTTTGGAGATAAAGGGTAAGAAGATGAGATTGATAGGGTTTTAATGTATTTTTTTTTTACTATTTAAAAAAACTATGTATAATTTAGTGAAATACCAAAACCAAATATAAAATAAAGCTTCTTATAATTTTTTAGAAGAATTAAGACAAGATATAAGTTTTCACCTTTATTTGAATATAAGATTCTTTTTTGGGACAGGATTGTTATTTTCCCCGTCATCCACTGGTTAAGAAATAAATATAAGAACTTTTTTCACGTCTATCTTTTCTTATATTTATACTGCATTTATACATCCTAGAAGACAAAATAAAAGATCTTTAGGGAAAATCCACTGGCATAAGTTGTCGAAAATTAATTAATATTGATCAAGTTGCAACCTTGTAACTCTTATAATTTTATGAATCATTACTTTCCGAATTGTTATATATCTTCGCTTCCAACCCAAAAGCACCTTTTCTAATTTGTCATTTTTAAACTGACAGTGCGGGAATCCTACAATAATAACTGCAGTAGATACCTGTAGGCATATACAATATCCATAGCTGACTACAAAAAGAAATTCCCTTTTCACAAAATTTCCTAGCGCGAGAAGAACCCGATTAGTTAGACTCTATAGACAAAACAAACCTACAATGCAAAACTTTCCCATTATCACCATTTTCCAAGAAATTGAAAAGACAAAAAAAATCACTATAATTAAAAAAAAATCACAAGATGTTCACGAACAAACTCGTAATATAGCCAATTTAGAACATAAACAATAGCTGAAACTCAAGACCTGACTCAGAATAAATAAAAGTACCGAGGGGGTGAACTCAAACCTTGAGCTGTGCTTCGATCGCATCAAGCCTTCGAGATCTCTGAACAGCTTCAATGGCCTCTCGTTGTTTCCTAGCTTCTTCTTTTGCATTTCTCTCTCTTTCGAGTTTCAACCTTGCCCTTTCTTTTCTCTCCTTCTGTTCTCTCTCCAGCTTCTCCCTCGCTCTTCTCAGCTCAAAATCCATCTTTCTCTCTCTTTCCCTCTCTCTACCGATCGAGAATCCGTGTGAACCAGTTATGTCGAGCAATCCTAATGTTTGTGTGAGTTCGAGAGATTTTTAGAAGGTGATCAAGTAGGGGAGAAGCTTTTTCCCTTTCGTGTTGTCGAAGATATAAAGGGGCCTGGATCTGGTCTCGAAGAGAATCTGGACTTTTCATTTGAGGTGGGTCTGCGGAAGCTTGTCTGTGGAGCCCACAACCAAAGCTCGGCCCAAAGCCCATACAAGTAGGTTTTTTCAGACAACGTGGTTCGAATTATATTATTGTAAAATTTAAGCATGTTGTTTGGTTAGCTTTTCTATATTAATAAAAATTAATTGAAGTAAAATGTTTAAATATGAAAAGAGAAAAAAAAATTATTCGGATGACAAATATAAACATCACCTTTACGTTAATTAAAACTAAATTTACAGAAAATTATTTTAAATTATAATTTATGATGTTATTAAAAGTTCATATAGTACATAAATGAAAATAAATAATAATAATAATTTTGTTTAATTTTAAGTAAATATAGTTCATCTTATTTTTTTTAAGAAAAAATTAAAAAAAAAAATTTGTCAACCCAAAAATAAGAAAAAAATTTTTAAAAAATTAAAAGAAAAAAAAAAAAAGAGAGTGTGTGTCTGAGAGAGAAGTTCTTATGATACTTTATGATCATTACTGTATTTGTTCTTACAAAAAAATTTCTCATAAAAATTTATAATATATATATATATATATATATACTTATAACCCATTATTATAGGAGAGAGATATAACAATATAGTCATTATTGATGAGGTACCTATCATACTCTTTTTCTTAAGTGGAAGGAGTATACATGAAGATACATTGATGGATTTATAAATTAAAAACTTTTTTTTTTTAGTAAATTCGTGTAATACACATAAAATAATCATAATATCTTAAAACGAAAATACAAACGGAAGTATTATGTAATTTGAACTTATGATCTTTTAAAAAAATTATACAAGAAGAAATAAGAGATAAAAAGCTTATGACGTTTGGGAAGCTACAAAAAATTTCAGAATGTTGACCAAAGCATCTTTAGCAGCCCTATTTAGTGCAATTTCCTTCTTGAGGCCATAAATCCCTTTGCCAACCAGTTGATCATCGATGAATACATCAAACGCCATACTCTCTTTCCATTGGTCTACAAACCGAAGTTTTAGATTTCGCTTCTGGCACTCTTCATATAGTTCTGTAACTGGGTGCTTTTTTAGGGTTTCCGGACTTATTCTCGGTTTTAATATATCTTCGAAAACCTACCCAATATATATATATATATATGTAATTTCCAACAAAATGAATTATATTATATGTCATACTAATATATATATATATATATATATAATGTACTACATCATATAAATTGTTCATGGAAATTGTAAGTGATCATAATTAGCATCACAACAAAAGCAACCAATTTAATACACAATTAATACAATTAAATGTAGTTTTAGTTAACATCGAAATTCATATAAGATTTTATTTTTAAGTTGAAGATATATACATTCATTAAATAAATTATATATATACATTAATAATAATATATGCTTTTCAATTAAGACACACATAAAAGTATTTTATGATCTGAACTCATAATTTCTTACATAGAAAATGATATAACGATTATTATATTTACATTCATATCACATTTAATACGCATGAATATTTGGAGAAAAAACTATGTTATGTAATTTAATATGAAATTTTACTAATAAATGGTAGGTAAAGAAAACTAGTGAAAATATTATATATAAGGGAAATAAGATCTTAATCTTGACTTATATGCGTTAATTATGCAAAATAAATTTTGATTATCTTTTACTTTTCCTTTAAGGGTGTTCTAAACATTTAAGATATTGATCTCACGACATAAATATATTTAGAAATAAATTTTGATCATCTTTTACTTCTCCTTTAATTTTGATTATCACGTTCTCATTAATTTCTTCCCAAAAAAAGTTTTAATAAAACCTTAAAACATTAACTACTGGTAAATTTCACGATCATAGTGATTTCAAATTCAATTTTGGTAAAAGGGTAGGAAATTCATCTTCTTTTTTTTTAAATTAATATAAGCAAGAGAGTTATACCTTCCAAACGATATCGATGCTGTTGCAGTCAACGAAAACAGCTCCAATGGTGGATTCAACAATATCAGCTAGAACTTTTGGCACCACAACCAGACCATTTGAGTGCAATGGATATTCCTCTATTGCTTTCTTGAACTCTTCTATCTGTTCAAAAATTTCATGCAATATTTACTGTACATATATATCTATATATATGTATGTACGTAATGCATTTCATAATATATACACACACCCCACACACACACGCGAGATAGTACAAAGTATCTTCGTTGTTGACATTGACATAATCTAAAAACCTAACAAAAGCACTTGTCGCCAAACCCTAAAAGATACAAAGGTTACGCCAAAACAAATTTAATTTACACAACTACCCATCCCAAATTAATTAAATCAAAAACCTTCCAACCATCAACAACCATTATATAAAACTATTTTCTTAAATGATAATACGACAACGTATCAAACAAGAAACATCGAAGTTTTCAACCTATCCGTTAATATTATTACGCCATTAAAAGAAAATTCAGAGTCAAGAAGACATAACCGCTTACTTGTTCCCCAAGGAGCGGCTTCTTATGGCGAAGAAATCGATGTAATTCGTGCTTGATCGCCACACGTGCGAGCTTCTCCGTATCCACGTTGGCTGCACGGAGTCGGGTCAATGCTCAGGTGACAAATCCGGGTAATCTGAGTACTGTTCTCGTGTGACGATTAGGTTGAGTACTGAGTCGCCGACGTACCCCAATCGCTTGTACGAGACGGTCGCGTTCGGGTACGAGCAGTGAGTAAATGCTTCCTCCAATAACCTCTTGTTCCTGAATCTGTAGTTCAGAATCTCCTCCACCTCGTCGAGGCTCGCCGGCGGCTCAGTTTGATTTGACTTGGTCGTAGCCGACTCGCTGATGGAATTGTCCTCTCTGTCGACTTTCGAGCGGCCGACAGTAATGTCAAGCTCTTCTACTTGCTGGCTAATAATAAGTGCTTCTTGTTGTTCCGATTGGCTTGGTGCTTCTTCGTGCTGATCATCTATGGCGATCATAATGATCCGGGAAAACTTCTGATTTACATGGAAAAAGAAGGTTCGGAGAGAAAATTGTCAATAACAAAGAGGAGAGAGAGTCCACGAGGAAGAGCATGTATATATATTATATATATACATAAATGCATATATATTGGTTTGTCTTTTTCGTATTTAAGGTTTTGGTGTCACATGAATCGTGAGTAAGAAGTATATACAGGTTTTAATGATAAAAAAAAAAACCAAATAATGAGATTTGAAGATCCTTATTAATTACAAATTAAATAAATAATTTAGCAGACATTATTTATATGCCAATCTTCTACCTATAACATTAATGTAGTAAACGATGTGATTGAGATTTCAATTAATTTTCAGGTTTTAGAAAAATCTTGCAGAGAATTTCTTTTTCCGGAAAATGTAATGTTGTTGACGAGCAGACTAGATTCTATATTGGTCAAGTTAAATTTTTAATAAATTATTAACGAAAATATGACACGATATTATAGTGTACTCATTGCACAAAATAAGTATATCAGTTTTTTAGAACTGAAAAATTTAGAACTTGATAAATATATATAAACGCAGAGTATCACTAAAATTACTATATGAATATTTTAGAAACCTGGTAAAAAAACTAAATAATTATTGTGACCTCTTAATTATATTTTATGGAAACTATATAAATATTAGAACATTCTGGAAATGTGAAAAAAAAAAAAATTAAATAATTGTTCGGACTTTTTAATTAAACTTCATAAAAGAGAAGTTTGGCGGTAACCCTCATAAAGGTAGAACCAAATAATAAATGAAAATGAAAAGGATGTCATCAAAGGGTGCAAGACATGGGTTGGGTCATAACCCTCGGGCATTGGACAATCCAAAGGGCATGACTAACAAAATACAATCCATCTTGGGTCTTAAAAGGCGGTTTTTCATTACGAATTTGGTGGTAACCACTGCGCAAGTCTATCTTGGAGAACCAGCCGACCTCCCCCGGATGAAATTAAAGAAAGGAGGAGATCCGTAAAAAAAAAAAAAAGAGAGAGAGAAATTAATCAAAGATCCAACTGATCACCACGTTTGTATTGTAAATATGCAGTTACGAATAATCCAGCAAAAGTAATAGAAAGACAACCTAAGACGATTCAAAATAGAAAAACTTCAATCATTTCTCCAGGATCTCATTCAATAGATCTAATCCATTTCTAGGGTAGATAGAGGAGTTCGTCCCCCGCTTCCTTTGCTCCACTGGCACCAAAGATCAAGAATGAAAAATAAATAGAAAGATTGGTTGGTGGGCTGTTAAGCCCCCTAATCAGTTAAAGGCAGATAGCGGAAAGGTGAGCAGCTATAGCTTCATTGTTCATCTTCCCCTCGCTACCGGATGAGTGAACTCTACCCGCCTATGCTGGATGGGATTGGATTCAATTAACGGATTCCCCCTGCCTCCTAGATCCACTGGGCGAGTGGAAGACATTGAGAAAGGCTTCACATCCCTTGCGGGGCTTTGAGGTTTTAAACTTGGTTGTGCTCCTCCGATTGACAGATTCCTGGAAAAAAAAAAAAAAAAAAAAAAAGGCCTTTAGGCGGAGGATTGTACCTGGAAATGGAAGGTCTGCCCCTTCTTTTTATATTTTTTATTAGAGGCTTGCCTCTTTCTTTTTCTCTCTACCGCCTGTGTCTATCTCCTGTCAAGTGTGCTCCCTGCCACACTACTCTCACAGCAATTCCATGAATTAGGAGACCTAATCCCCAAACCCATCTCTCATTAGCGAAAGCTACCTACCTCCTTTTGCTGAAGCTCTGCCAGTATAGCGCGGTTTGTTTAGTCTCTTTCTCTATATTCGCTGAACACTTCCAATACCTCACCAGACCGATTTCACTGCTCGATTAGAGCAGCTCGACTTTCTTCGCAGCTTTCGAGCCCCTTTCTTTTTCTTTGTAAGATAGGGCGCTTGAGCGCCCCCGCGCGATACAGTTGAAAAGCCTTATCTTGCTTGCTCTTATTTTGAAAGAAATTGTTTGAGCCGCTTTCAAATCTTACCTTTAGCAACGGCAGTAGTCTTTCTTAGTGCAATACCTTCAACCGCCCTTAAAGCGTGCGAGCGGCCCTAGCGTACGGAAAAGAAAGAAGACAAATAGAAGATAATTCATGTTCATGCTAACAGAAGAGCGGATCCAATACCAAGACGACTTCTTTCTCAGGAACTGCAGCGAGTACTTTAGGAATTTTACTACGGAGGGCTGCCTTCCTCTCTGTCCACCACCAGTATCCCTATGGAAGCCTCGTTTTTCTATCAAAAACTCGTTAACTCATTAACTCGAAGTAGGAAGTATTATTAGATAATTCTAGAAGTGAAACTAGCTTAAAGGGGAGGAAGTGCTTCACGGGTGTGGAGCACGACTTCCGCTCTCTTTAAACCATCTGGGGCCGAGGCCCCGTTCTGCTTACTACAATTAGTGTAGCACCTTTCTTTTTAGGGCTGACTTCGGAGAGTACCGCTGCTATTGTTTGAGTATAATCCTGGTATCTTTCTATAATCATCTTTGTGGCTCCTGTTGCTGCAGAGCCTCTGTGCTGTTGCTTTTACCCAGCCGGGTAACGAGTCCTTGAATATTCTCAGGTTCTTCCGATTTTCGACAAAAAAACCAGCTAAGTTTTTTTTTTCTTCCTCCAGTAGGTAAGGCAATAAGTTTTGCAAATTGATGAAGATTCATAGCTTGGGAAAAGACCTGAAATCCTACCTTCCGGCATAGCGATAAAGTGTTGACAGAGCAGAGTGAAAGGCACCACCTTGAGAGGCGGGCAACGAGGTTATATCGCTCTAAAACAGGTACTGATAACGAACCACAAGCCCTATTAAGCCGAAGAAAGAAGCAATCATACCCCAAGATATTGCACTTCAAAATCGTTATTAGAAGCACTGCAAGCGCACTTCCTATCTAGGCAAACCAAACCCGAAAACAGACCTCTATCCCGGCTAGCCTTGCAAGAGTGGGAGAATAGAACTGAGCATCGAGGCTGCAAGACAGAAGGAAGGTTCCCGCGTGCAGGAAAGCTCTTTCTCAGGAAGTCCGGTATGCTTCTCTTCTCATCCCGTCCATTCCTAAGCCTGAGAAGGAATGGGAAAGAGGGGATGTCCTTATTTGAGTTAACGTTGTGATTAGCGCCCACATCTTCATTCTATCGGAGCGCTAATAACAAGAAGTCGTCCAAAAGCAATCAGAGGCTCCCTATAGGCTTTGGATATCGTACGGAGCCACGTCGAGTTGAGTATAGCTGGGCGATACATCCTTAGGGGGCCCACCACCTCCCCTGGTAACGAATAATCAACCCTTTGCACGCGTCCTTTTTCCAAAACAGGTAAGTTGAATCTTCGGCTTACCCCAAGCCCGAAAGCCCTCTCGAATTGGAAATCTACTGCCGCAATAGCACCAGTTTATATGTCTTTTGGCTTTACCTTTTTTTTAAAAGTATGTATGTGCGTAGTTCAAGTTTTCGCCCGATTCACCAAGGAATATTTTGGTTGCTTTTGGCGGATTGCTTACTACTAGGTTGGATCGGATGTCAACCTGCGGAGGCACCATTTGTTACTATTGGACAAATTCCTCCTTTTGTTTTCTTTTTGTTCTTTTCCATAACGCCCATTCAGGGACGAGTTGGAAGAGGAATTCCTAATTCTTATACGGATGAAACTGATCACACCTGATCAGTGAAAAATTCTGACACCAAGAATTTACAAGTGAGTATTACACCAAGAATTTACAAGCGGATGAGTTTTCTAGTTGGCTATGTTGATATAGCCGCTTAGATAGGGAAAACATACTCCAATATAGGGTAGGACTGAACTTTAAAATCCGGGGGCTTTGTTCTCGAAACTCCCTCTCCCCCTCTTTTTTTTAAAAAAATAAAAATAAAAAGCCCCGCTCACTAAGGGGCCCCTCTCTGAGCTAAAAGGAAAAGAAGGACACGGAAGACATAGTCAATTAAAGCCACTGCCTTAGTAACACTCGTCCTCTATCTAGCTTCCTTGCTTAAAGAAAAGACCGGCTTCAGTTATTTCCTTGCCTTACGAAAAGCATTTCGAAATGGAATTGAATTCTCCCTTCTGGCATCAAAAGAATTGGAATTCTATGAAATTCCCCATTGGATAAGACTGAGCGAGGGGAAGAGCATGGAAGTGAAAGGCCAAACGAAGTCGGTCAAGTTTCGCAGGAAATTTGAAAAGGCAAAGCTGGAATCGCTTCAAGCACATAGAATCCCCGAAGGGAAGGGGGAGAGGGAGGCAAAGCTGGAATCGCTTCAACCTAATTCATTTGCCAGTTTATGAGCTCACTAAGTCGGAAGCCAACGCTATATCTCTTGCTATGGCTTTTAGCTCATTTTTGGGATATCTGTTCAGCACACTAATAATGAAGTACCTGACCAAACGGGTAGAACTTCATGATGGATTCGGTCTAACCCCATTGAATTGAAGGAAAAAGTGCAGTTCAAGCACTTTGCTTTGAATCACACACAGATATTCTAAAGATTCGGCATTCCCGATCTTCTATCTTTCTTGCAGGCATGGAAATCAAACTGGAATGAAACCTTCCTTCTGATTCTGAGATGCCGAGAACCTGGTCTTCTTGTTCACGCCTCAACTGCTAAAGCTAAACCAAGAGTAGCTGGTGAAGCAAGTGGCTGGGTTGCAGATCAAGCAAGAAGAGGAGACGTTCTTTGCTGGTCGAGGAAAGAGTCAGTCTAGCCCCAACTCGAAAAGGCAAGAAAAGAGTTCGCAGAATGGAGAGTCATCTGAAAAGAAGGATCAGATTCAGAAAAAGTCCAAGAGACAGGGCTGCTACCGTTGTGGCAAGACTGGCCACTTCATAAAGGACTGCAAAGCCAAGTTGGCGGATAGTAAGGCCGCCGCAACGACAACCTCGCAGGGAGAAGTGCACCATGTATTTTAGATAGGGTCCGCTAGTTTCTTTGATCCTACACGGTCTTCCTTTTCCATTATCTTCCAATAGTTCGACCTATCCAGAAAAATTGTCGGCCTACGAATGCGGTTTCGATCCTTCCGGTGATGCCAGAAGTCGTTTCGATATACGATTTTATCTTGTTTCAATTTTATTTATTATCCCTTATCCGGAAGTAACCTTCTTCTTTCCTTGGGCAGTACCTCCCAACAAGATTGATCCGTTTGGATTTAGGTCCATGATGGCCTTGTTATTAATTTTGACGATTGGATTTCTCTACGAATGGAAAAGGGGTGCTTCGGGTCGGGAGTAATCAATCACTAGTGATGATAGGGCAAAAATAGGGGAGAAGGACAAAAGAAAGAGCGATGCCTACATTAAATAAATTGATTCGTCATGGTAGAAAAGAAAAACGGCGCACGGACCGTACTCGAGCTTAGGATCAATGTCCCCAGAAGCAAGGAGTACGCCCGCGTGTTTCAACGAGAACACCGAAATAACCTCACTGCGTAATACTAAATTTCTTTTCTTATTTTTCGAAGGAAATTTACTGATATACCTTATTAAAGTAGTAGTTGTTCCCCAGCCAAGTGCCATCCGAGAGTCTTCCAAAACTCTCTGCCATCTGATGCGGGCCACCTTTTGTAAAGCAGGAAAGTGTGGGCGCATGGTTCGCGTTTATAAGCTTCCTATGACAGAGTAGGACAAAGTATTTTCGTTGTTGACGTTGACATAATCTAAAAACCTAACAAAAGCACTTTGTCGCCAAACCCCAAAAAGATACAAATGTTACGCCAAACCAAATTTAATTTACACAACTACCCATCCCAAATTAATTAAATCAAAAACCTTCCGACCATCAACAACCATTATATAAAACTATTTTCTTAAATGATAATACGACAACGTATCAAACAAGAAACATCGAAGTTTTCAACCTATCCGTTAATATTATTACGCCATTAAAAGAAAATTCAGAATCAGACATAACCGCTTACTTGTTCCCCAAGGAGCGGCTTCTTATGGCGAAGAAATCGATGTAATTCGTGCTTGATCGCCACACGTGCGAGCTTCTCCGTATCCACGTTGGCTGCACGGAGTCGGGTCAACGCTCCAGGTGACAAATCCGGGTAATCTGAGTACTGTTCTCGCGTGACGATTAGGTTGAGTACCGAGTCGCCGACGTACACCCTAATCGCCTGTACGAAACGGTCGCGTTTCGGGTACGAGCCGGGGGTAAATGCTTCCTCCAATAACCTCTTGTTCCTGAATCTGTAGTTCAGAATCTCCTCCACCTCGTCGAGGCTCGCCGGCGGCTCGGTTTGATTTGACTCGGTCGTAGCCGACTCGCTGATGGCATTGTCCTCTCTGTCGACTTTCGAGCGCCCGACTGTAATGTCAAGCTCTTCTACTTGCTGGCTAATAATAAGCGCAGAGTATCACTAAAATTACTATACGAGTATTTTAGAAACCTGGTAAGTAAACTAAATAATTACTGTGACCTCTTAATTATATTTTATGGAAACTACATAAATATTAGAACATTCTGGAAATGTGAAAAAAAAAATTAAATAATTATTCGGACTTTTTAATTAAACTTCATAAAAGAGAACCAAAAAAAAAAAAATGTTGTTGACAAGTAGACAGTACATATAACATTGGGTAAGTCAAATTATTAATAAACTAGTAATAAAAATGTTACTCGTTGCACAAAATAATTATTTCATTTTTTTAGAGCTGAAAGATTTTGAACTTGATAAGAGTAATGTTGTGGACGAGCAAACAACACTGGTCGAGTCAAATTTTTAATAAATTATTAGTGAAAATATGATACAACATGATTCTGTACCCATGCACAAAATAATTATATTAATTTTTTAGAATTAAAAAATTTAGGACTTGATAAGTTAATAACTAAATTATGCACGAGAACAATAAATATATATATATATAAAAGAATAAAATATTACTAAAATTATTATACGAAGAGTTTTAAAATATACATAAAATATTTTAAGAATCTGATAAAAAAATTAAATAATTGTTCTAATATCTTAATTAGACATTATAAAGTAGAAACAACCAAGTTATGTTGTTGATGAACAAATAGTTGAGCTCTTTTATAAGAAGAAATATCAATAGTATTATAATGATAAAAGAATGAATGTACTACAAAGTAAGATTAAAAATATCAATTTTTTTCATTTAAAAACAAACATGAGAAAACCTTGCAAGTAAATCTATGAATTAATAAATGAACACCTATAAGATGTTAATGTATGATTTAAAAATTATTTGTAAAATATAGAAATGTATTTTTACATTATAATAAATTACATAAATTATGTTTAATTAATTTAAATAAATTTCAAGAATATCAAAAAATATTAAATATAAGATATATTATATACTTTTAACAGTAAAATACACACACACACATATATATATATATATAGAAACACAAATTGCAGGATGGTCATGAAACATACATAACCATCATTAGAACCATTAAATTAAATTCTGTATCTAGTTCGAATTAGGTGATTTCAGTATTAACAAATGATAATACAAATGCATTACTATTAAATTAAACTAAATGCAGTTTTTTATTTTACAATTTATAATTTATTTTAAGATTAATTATGATAACATTTTTAATTGACGAGGAGAAAAAGAAAGAAAAATACTAAAACATTTTTCTTTTCTTTTTCTAGGTATCAAAGCATCAACTATTTAGCTTAGTCAGCAGAAGGGTCAAAGAAAATCTGCATAGATTTACCAAAGGTTCTGCATCTTTCATGCCCCAAATTCATCTTAGAAATAATAAAGAATAAATGATAATACAATTTATACCAACTTAGATCCGTTGCAGTTCATAAATTTTTAATACACTATTAATAGAAATATGAGAAGTATATTATTATGTATCCATTGCTCGAAAAAACAAATAAACTTTACGTACGGAAAGAACAAAATATAACTAAAATTATTATATATAAAGTGATTTTAAAAAATAAATATAAAAAATTTTGAAAATATGAGAAGAAATTAAATAATCATTCGAACCTCTTGTATGAAGGAGGAGTATCAAGAGCATTATAATGATAAAAAATGAATTGAATGCAAAATAGGATTAGAAATATCAAGTTCTTTTGTTTAACAGCGAATAAGATAAAACTTTGTAATTGAATTTATACAATTCAAGATAATAATAATATTGTATATCTGTTGCATGAAAACAATGAACATTACATAAAGAAATAGCGAAATATAACTAAAATTATTGTATATGATGTGATTTTAAAAAGATAGATATAGAACATTTTGAAAACGTGAGAATGAAACTAAATAATTGTTCAAACCTCTTAATTAGTCTTCATAAAAGAAAACAAATAAATTATGTTGTTGATAAGTAAATAATAGAACTTCTATATAAAGGAGAAATATCATGAGCATTATAAGGGTCAAGAATGAATCACATACAAAATAAGCTTAGAAATATAAACTCCTTTCATTTGAATGCAAATAGGAGAAAACCTTGTAATTAGATTTATGGAATTCAAGATGATAATAGAATATTTTGAAAATATTAGAATGAAATTAATTGTTCAGATCTCTTAATTAAGTTTTATGAAAGAGAACAAAAAAATTATATTGTTGATAAAATAATGGAACTCCTGCATAAAGAAAAAATATCATGAGCATTATAATGGTCAAGAATGAATTGCATGTAAAATAGGATTAAAAATATAAAATCCTTTCATTTGAATGCAAACATGAGAAAATCTTATAATTGGATTTATAGAGTTCAAGATAATAATGGTATTGTATATCTGTTGCATAAAAACAATGAACGTTACATAATAAAAGAGCAAAATATAACTAAAAAATTACTATAAATGAGGCAATTCTAAAATATAAATATAAAACGTGTTGAAAATGTGAGAATGAAACTAAATAATTATTTAAACATTTTAATTAGGATTCACGAAAGAGAATAAACAAGTCATGTTGTTGATAAGCAAAAATGGAACTTCTGTATTAAGGAAAAGTATCAAGAGTACTATAATGATCAAGAATGAATTGAATGCAAAATAAAATTACAAATACCAATTCGTTTGTTTGAAAGTAAACAAGAGAAAATCTTGTAATTAGATTTATAAAATCCATTATGACAATAGTATTATTTATGGAATCCCCGATGATAATAGTATTATGTATCTATTACATGAAACAAATGAATATTACAAAAAGAAAGAGTGAAATACAACTAAAATTACTATATATGAGATGATTGTAAAAGATAAATATAGAATATTTTAAAAACATAAGAAGAATATTAAATAATTTTTCGGACTTCTTAGTTAGGCTTCATAAAAGAAAATAAACAAACTATGTTGTTGGTGAACAAATAATGAAACCCGTGTACAAAAAAGAAGTATCAAGAACATTATAATGATCAATAATAGGTTGGATGCAAAATAAGATTATAAATATCAAGTTTTCTTTTATTTGAAAATAAATAGGAAAAAACTTATTCATTAGATTTATGAAATTTAAGATGACAACAAGATTGTGTATTCGTGGTATTAAAACAATAAACATTACATAAAGAAAGAGTGAAATATAATTAAAATTTTCACATATGAACTAATTCAAAAAAAAATAAATATAGAACATTTTAGAACTGTAATAAAGAAACTAAATAATTGTTCGGACCTCTTATTAGGTTTCGTGAAAGAGAAAAACAAGTTATGTTGTTGATGAGCAAATAGGAAAACTTGTGTGTAAAAGAGAAATATCAACAGCATTATAATAACGTAGGCATTAATAAATTCGATGCAAAATAAGATTAGAAATATCTAATTCTTTCATTTGAAAGTAAACATAAGAAAATCTTATAATTAGATTTATGGAATTCAAAATGACAATAGTGTTGAAATAAATGAAATTGTATTTGAAAGAATTATCTGGATAGTATCCTAGTTGAATATAGCGACTAACTCATTCCAAATGCAAGTATGGCTCAAGTAGGAAATTTTTATATACTCATTGCCATGCCCCCGTTTTCTTTTAGCAAAGAGAACTAAATTTTCTTTACATCCATGGCACAGAATTAGTTTCTACCTTGGTACAATTCAGCAAGCAATGAATAAATTGGTCAAAAAAAAAGAACTCCCAAATACCTGAACTACTGCATTTACAAACAACATGGCCTGTGTAATTGACTTGATTCATAATTACACGTCAGGATAGAAGCTTCCAGACTGCAACCATATGTCGCTAATGCTCCTATCTCCCTGACAAAAGATTGACAAGAGCTTGATTTTCATAGAAGGAGCCAACATCCCAATCCTCTGTAGAAGATGAAAGTGTCATCAACGCAACCACGATAGATCTCATACTTGGCCGCAGTTGTGGATTCTCTTGAGTACAGGCTTTTGCAAGTTGTGCCATCTGAAAGCAAAAAAAAAAAAAAATACTTTAGCTTTACATCAGTCAAATCATAGAGTAGGAGGTTGGCAAATATACTTCCGCGAGAACTGTCCTGACCTTGCGTACTGAGTCAAGTGGATAGCTGTCACCAAGCCTTGGGTCAACTAGTTTGCGGATATCTTCTCTGGTATCAGGTTCGTTAAGAACTTCCTCAAACTGCAGGAGAAACAAACACAATAAGAATATGTTCATGGGTGCATGAATAGGGAATGTTTTTGACAGCATGCTATGAGACAAGGACATGAGCTTCAGATATGACAATAAACTGTTTGAACATTTGTGATTTTTAGCCTGCTAATTCAACACCAACTCACTCATATTACAGAAGATAAAAACCTCACAAACAGCTAAAGTGCATTTACAGCTGCAATTTAAACACTGAAAAGGGGTGGAAAAGTATTAACCAGAGCAACAAGGCCCATTGATTCAGCAATAGAGCCATTTGGCTTGACAATGGCTTCCTTTGCAGAAATAAGTTCATAAAGGACAACCCCAAATGCAAATACATCTACTTTTGGAGAAACATCACCATATTGAGCATATCTGCAGACAAACACGGAAAAAATTATCCCCTGTTTTACACAAATAGTCAAAGTATAAGAATGGAGAACAGGAAACACATCCTTTAGAGTTTCAAGGGAAACATTTTTTGTCCTGAAAGAAATAGACAATCCCTGTTATTCCTGTAAAAATTTTAATAAAATCTTTGCAAGTCCTGTCATCTAAGTCCTCATGCATAGAATCTCCTTAATAAAGGTACAGGAGGGCCTTCTGCAATGAAATTTCAGCTGAGAAGATGCCAATACTTAAATGGTTAAAACTGTAACTGATGGTACTCCTTAAAAGAAGAAAAAAAAAAGGAACTCTAATGGGTGTTGTGTGTTAAAACAAGGAATAGATATCTCACTACTGATAACAGTCTCTCCTCTACACCTTCTAAGGTTCTCATTTACACAATTAAGATGACAATGAAACATAAAAAAGTAGATAAGCATAAGTAAATAACAATCCCTAAACATCTAAGAAAGAACTGATCTAATTAAATTGCTGCACTCAAGTTTATAAAATCCACATCTTTGTTAAATTGATGGATGACATACTATTGCCTGGCTAAATCTAGTAACTTGCTAAAATTCAACACTAATTTCAATTCATGTAAGATTCTCAATTAACTACCATTCACCCAAACAGGTAATTCCATAAAATTTTGATTTCCCATGCTCATTAGGTGAAGTCAAATAATCAACATCCTCCTGATAATCCACATTCAACTGTCAAAAAAAAAGCACCCAAAAGAAATTCAAAACAAAAGAGTTGCTTGACTCGGCTTTTGTTTTGGTCAAAGAAGTTTGCTATAAAAGAAGCTACAAAGTGCTTGTCAACGAGTAGGACTAGCTTTCTTTTGGGAGCTTTTGTAAGTGGCTTCAAACCTATCTGACCAAATTTTCTTACCAATACATCACTCCTAAAAAATTCCACTAAGATAAATTTTTTAAGTCAGAGCAACTAGTTGTTTCTTTTTAGTCATTTAACTAAAATTTCATTCCAAAATTCATAATTTATTAAACACTTCATAACTTTTTAAAAACCAGAAGAATAAGTCAAAGAATCCAAATATTTTGTCCAAGGTTAAAGCACTATGAGCTTAAAGCTCGTTAGTAGTAGAAATTATAAAAGTTTAAAGCACAAGAAAAGGTCAGTCTAAACAGCCTCAAGCTCTTCCCCAGCATATTTAGCTGGCATTTTGCCATTTCCATTTATAGCCTATCACTAGCAAGCCAAGAAAATAACTAGATGTATAGCCATGAATAAGACGAAATGCAAAAGAATGCAGCAAGTAGGGATGTGAAGATTTCCACACCCTATCACTAATTCTGTGGAGCGGGGAAGAGTTGTAGATACACAGTCAATAGTTAGAATAGTTCAAATCAATAACACTTCTTAATTTGACATTAACCCTAGTGAATAATTAATTAGAAGGAAACAAATTGTTAATATAAATTCATCTTACTCAGGGGGCATGTATCCAAATGTACCCACAAGACGTGTCGGAAGTGATGCACTTCCTACTTCTGTCAGTTTCGTTAACCCAAAATCTGCAACCTGCAGTGTAATTGATTCAGTACAGGTGTAAAACCAAATAACCAAGGTTTCAAATATTTATATGATTAAAGAGAGCTCAATATGACCTTCGCACGGAAATTCTTGTCTATCAATATATTTGCAGATTTAATGTCCCGATGGATATAAACAGGAACAGTATGTTCATGAATGTACTCAAGACCTCTTGCTGAGTCTAGGGCAATTTGCACCCGAGCAGACCATGGCAATGGATCCCTCCCTGGCAGGAAACAAACATAAATATCGCAGTTACTTGGGAATCTGGAATATACTCCTATCAGCAACAAAGACACCATGCATGTTTAACCTCACCTGAACCACGTAAATGTTGGCTTAAATTGCCATTCTCAATGTATTCGTAAACCAGAAAAAGAGAGCCCTCAACACAATATCCAATCAACCGCACCTGCAACAAGTGTCATGAATAAAATCTGTTGCTTAATCATCGACAACTTGAAATTTTGAACTGTCTATGCAAGATATTAAAAACACAAGATTAATACTGTTTTTTTTACTTATAGCCTTACATTTGAACTGAATAGATAGTTAACCCGTAGAATATTTCCAGCAGGAGACTCTAGTAATCAAACAGTTATGCTAATCTCATATCTCCAAAAATACATTCACCCAATATATATTTCTATTGCTAACTAATAAACCTATTGATGCAGAACAGGGAGAACCAAAAGTAGACATAATTCTACGATAAGTTATTTTTTTTTAAAGAAAAAATATAGTAACTATATTAGCGAGGTACCAAAAAAGAGAGGGGTACCGCCCATTCACAAGAGATTTACAAGTTTGTTAGTGAATTTATGACATCCCCAAAATCCTCAACCTCAATGATGTTATGTCCCAATACAAGAAACCGAAACAAGTAAACCATCTCTCTTTTAATTTACTAATATTATTCACAATTCTCTCAAAAGCTTTTATATTTCTTTTATTTTAAATAACCAAAAATATGGACAGAAGAATGTGATGCGAAGCCCAGGATCAACTATCGTGATAAAAAACTCAGCATATAATAATGGGAAACCCGAGATCAAAACATGCAATCCAAAACCCCACATATAACATGAACATGCAGAAACTTATCTCTAAATAAACCTTCCCTAATTGACCCCGAGTCAACAGGGGAGTGAAAACCAAAGTAATACGGATAATTAAATTAATTAGAACATCACAAGAAAAACTTTGATAAGTTAAAATTAATTTAAAAAAGAAATTGATGAAAACACCACAAATTACTTTGATAAGTAGACATCAATTCCCTACTCAATAAGAAAGTTGAAAACACTGCCCTGAGGAGCAACTTAGCCAACGGCTAACTAAAACTAAAAACTTAATTTTATTGATCTTAATTTTTTTTCTTACAATTAGAAATTGATAACCTATTTATAGCGTAAACCATGTGAATAATAAGAAAAAATAATCTCCTAAATTAATAACAAAATTATGTAGGAAAATAAATTTAAAATAGAATAAAAAACTTGCAACAATTAAAATAATTGTTTTCTAAAATATAATAGATATGATCTCCATTTTCAATTAATTACGAAATGACTGATGGCAGAATTAAGGAAGATTATGATCAGTTTGAAAAATGATTAATTGCTCTTATAATCTCCTAAAATACAAGAGATTCAATCTCCCATTAAGACATGAGATTTGTTTTCCTCTTTCTTTTGATTTCTGATGCAGTTTAGGAAGGAAATTCACTCCTTGGCTGATTCTCTCTTTAAGAAGAAATTGTTTTCCCTTTTCTTACTCACATCAGAATGAGTCACACAATTTCTATTTTTAATCCAACACCCCCCAAAGCCCAAATCTCATCCTCAATCGAACCAGCCGGTACCCAACAGATGCCTAACAAGCCATACACCAAGCTCCAAAGTTCATAAGCAGTAGGGCACCTGAGCAGAAGGTGACTACAGTCTTCCTCATCCCTCATGCATATAAAACAGCCATTCACCAAAGTGAAACCCTAGCCTTCAGTTCATCCAAGGTTAAAATGTTTTCCCTCCAGGACTCCCAAGAGAAGAAAGCCATCCTTGGGGGCACAGAATTTTCTAAGTATAATGTTTATACATTATTAAGGTATTCAAGCTATCTAGGAACTAGCATCTATATGGAATAAGTTTTTTATTTCATATTCACTTAGGATATGTTGTTCGAATTAATTAGCTTATTTTACTATTTTGTAGAATTCCTAGATAAACTTAAAAATTCCTATTTTAATTACATTTGGTGCCTATAAATAAGAAACCTTAACTTAGTTAATAATTATTATACAAATTTTGAGTTATTGATTTGATTATTGAGATTGAT